TTTTTGAGACAGAGTCTTACTCTGTTACCCAGGCTAGAGTGCAACGGCATGATCTCAGCTCACTGCAACCTCCGCCTCCCGGGTTCAAGAGATTCTCCTGCCTCAGCCTCCCGAGTAGCTGGGACTATAGCATGTGCTACCACACCCGGCTAACTTTTGTATTTTTAGTACAGACAGGGTTTCACTATGTTGGCCAGGCTGGTCTCGAACTCCTGACCTCATGATCTGCCCACCTCGGCCGCTCAAAGTGCTGGGATTACAGGCGTGAACCACCTCGCCCGGCCTCAACAATTATTAACACATGGGTAATTATTGTTTCATTTAGACATCCTCCTTCCCATTGATTTATTTTGAAGCAAATCCCAGACATGACACATAATTTCATCCATAAATACTTCAGAATGTATCTTTGGAAGATACAGAAGACTGTTAAAAAACATAACCATGATACAAGTGTCATGCCTAAATTTTTAAAAACAATTTCTTAATATCAAATATTCAGTCAAGGCCGGGCACGGTGGCTCAAGCCTGTTAACCTAGCACTTTGGGAGGCTGAGGTGGGTGGATCACTTGAGGTCAGGAGTTCAAAACCATCCTGGCCAACATGGTGGAACTGTCTCTACTAAAAATACAAAAAATTAGCTTGGCGTGGTGGCACACACCTGTAATCCCAGCTACTTGGGAGGCTGAGACAGGAAATCACTTGAACCCAGGGGTAGAGGGTGCAGTGAGCTGAGATTGCGCCATTGCACTCAAGTCTGGGGGACACAGCAAGATGCAGTGTGGGAAAAAAAAAAAAAATTAGCTGGCTGTGGTGGTAGGAATCTGTAGTCCCAGCCACTTGAGAGGCAGAGGCAGGAGAATCGCTTGAACTCGGGAGGTGGAGGCTGCAGTGAGCAGATTATGAGCGCCACTGCACTCCAGCCTGGGTGACAGAGTGAGACTCATTCTCAAAAAAACAAAAACAAAACAAATATTCAGTCAAGTATTTAAATATTCTCTATTGTCTCAAAAAAGTTTAAACATTGTCTTATTTGAATTCAGATGCAAACAATATCCACATATTGTATTTGGTTATCTTTTGAGCTGCTTCTAATCTCTAGGACTCCCCTCTTTTTCGGTTCTATCTTTCTGCAGTACACAGGAGTGACTCAGCCTGTGTAATTCCTGAAACTAGGAATAGGTTCCTGAAACTAGAATTAGGTGCTGAGTGCCATCACTTTAGAGAGCTATCACGAGAATCACGAAAGGCTATCTGGCAATGCTAGTTAGTAGAAGGGTAAAGGGATGGTGCCTGGCCTTCAAGTAACAGCACTTGAGAGCTGCAAAAGTCTTCCAAGATCATCTTGTCAAGGACTCTTGTTTTAGAAAGGGTGGTTGTATTCCTCTGAGTTCATTCACGTAACAAGTAAATAGTACCAACACCTAATCCTTTACAGGGAACAGAAAGCAGCAACCTCTCTCTCTGACTTGATGAACACGTCTCTAGCTGTTCACGTTTCCCTACTACTCTAGTGCTAGGCAAACTAAGACTGACGGCTACTTGGATAATGTAATATTTCCAAATTAAAAAAAAAATAAAAAAACCCCTTAGTTTGTACCACAAAATTAAATCCAAACTTCTAATTTATCAGCAGGTAGCTTTATATTGTCAGTCATCAATGGATTAAATACATGCAATAGTCATCTATTATAAAGAGCTCAAACAGACCTGAAGAGGGACAGTATCCAAAATGTCAAAGCTTTTTTTTTTGAGATGGAGTCTTGCTCTGTCGCCCAGGGTAAAGTGCAGTGGCGCGATGTCTGCTCACAGCAAGCTCCGCCTCCTGGGTTCATACCATTCTCCTGCCTCAGCCTCCGAGTAGCTGGGACTACAGGCACCCGCCACCATGCCCAGCTAATTTTTTTTTCTATTTTTAGTAGAGACAGGGTTTCATCGTTTTAGCCAGGATGGTCTCGATCTCCTGACCTCATGATCCGCCTGCCTCGGCCTCCCAAAGTGCTGGGATTACACGCATGAGCCACTGCGCCCAATCCATGTCACGGCTTATTTTAGGTACAATTTTCTTTTCTTGTCTTTTTTTTTTTTTGAGACAGAGTCTCACTCTATCGCCCAGGCTGGAGTGCAGTGGTACGATCTCAGCTCACTGCAACCCCTGCCTCCCAGGTTCAAGTGATTCTCCTGCCTCAGCCTTCCGAGCAGCTGGGATTACAGGTGCCCACCACTATGCCCAGCTTATTTTTTCATTTTTAGTAAAGGGGGTTTCACCATGTTTGCCAGGCTGTTCTTGAACTCTTGACCTCAGGTGATCCACCTGCCTCGGCCTCCCAAAGTGCTGGGATTACAGGCATGAGCCACTGCAACCAGCCTATTTCCTATTTTTCATATTGTACTTTCTCTTCAGAGGGCTGAGATAAAGATGCTTACCTGCAAATGTTACTTCTACTGCTTCCGGTTTGTTTCTGTAAACAACAAAAAAGGCCCTCAGTTAAGATGACTGTATTGCTGCTTACCTTCAAGGGGAACTGGAAAGGCGCCTGAGCTTCACTTAAGATCAGACCATTCTGTGTAAGTTTTAGGTTACTGCCAATCAGAGTACACAATTCATTTTCTCATGGACCTGAACCTTTGGACTTGCTTTAAGTAGAAGACAAAAAAGGAAGGTCAGCTATAGCTTTTGTTTTTCACCTGCTGTTAAATCTCCTGCCTTGGTTGGTGCTCACTTTCAATTCTGAATTTCCTAAGAGCATGCTATATACCTGTTTGTATATGTGTACCACAAAATGCCATCTCTTGGTCAATGCCTTCCCCACAGGACAGTGGTATTAGGAGTAATATGTTCAGCAGGAAAATGGCTAAGTATAATGTAGAATGGTTTTAATATGCTTAAAGTGAAAGGATGATTTCGGGCCATAAACAAAATGGCAAGTTCTATTCCACTTCAAAACTCCTCTGTAAGCCTTCCTACTCATCTTTCTTTCTTCCTTTACATCACCAAAGTGCTTACCACTCACCTTCACGAAACCCTCTTTAGTTCTACCCTGGTTTTGTCTTGCCTTTTAAATTCCAGCTCTGAACTTAAAATAGACAGCGTAACACAAAATAGCACTATGAAATCACTAAGGAGAATAGTCAGGATATCTGCTTTACAACTTCAGCTTTCTTATCACGCTCATGTTTTAGGACAAATACCCTTACACCTTTGCATCCTGCCCTATCATCTATAAAATGGGGGAACACAAATGATCCTATCTACCTCATGAAACTACTACATATAACACAAGAACAGACCTGAAGTCCAAAGTAGGAAGCAAATGAAGACTATTGCCTTATCAGCTAGCTACCTGTAACTCAATGATTCCACTTTGTTTTAGGGGCTAGCAAACAAGATGCACACATTTTCACATTTATTTTTGTCTAACTTGCTCAAGACCTCTTAATCAAGTACGTATCTTTTCTGTGATCTCTGCTCCATCACCTGTGAAAGAAACCAAGACTAAGTTGATCTGCAGGGCTGCTGGAAATAATGGAATATATAACATGGTTTATGAGTGTTAAAAAGTTGATACAGAAGACAGACAATACCTTTCAAGGAAACTGGCTTCTATGAAAATCATCCTATATGAATCATACAAAGCTTCACCCTGCTTCTTCAAAGCCCTCTGTATGTGACTTAGGAAAAGCATGTTGGGTATCTCTAAGAATTGAAGAATCAAGTGGGTTTATGGATAAGCAGTGAGTTCAGAACAGAAGGGAAGACTACATGAAAATTTAAATTGCTTCTGAGCCTTCATTTTGAAACTGTAGCCAGGAAACAAAGGCAATGAGTCCAATACCATTCCTCATCTTTAGAAAACAAGAGCAAAGAACAAAAATATGGAAATGTTAATCATGGCCCAACTGAATCCAGTACTAAAAGGATGACCAATGGGAGGAAGCATACTTTCCTGGGGAAGGCTGGCTGTGCTGAAGAGTCAGGGAGTTTACAAAAGCCCATTATTCCATCACTTGGTAGGCTTTTTTTTAACCTTTAGGTTTTAATTCAGCCAAAGATGGGCTGAGTTCCTCACTCTCCTACTTTTATCAAAAGACCTGAGAAAAATAAACTATAAATAAATAACCTTTGGGTTCCAAGTCATAAATACTTTGAGTCTGTAATTTCAAATTTCTCTAGGCATAAAGTACCCTGAGCACAGATCCCTGTGGGAAAAGTTGCTACGATCGATCTTAAGTGGTTTGCTGTCTGACTTAGCAATACTTGTCAAATCACTGCCATTAATATTTTAGTTTACTATTTATGGCTAGAAGAGAGAGAGAGGCTGCTGAGGAGAGCATTAGGCCAAAGGAGACTTCATGAGAAGTCTTCCGGGAATTAGAGGTCCGAGAACTCAGTGTCTTAACGAGGAGTTCGCTGAATGTGAAGTATACCATCACAAGATTGCTTCTCAATTCCAAGACCTTGCGTTTGTTATTTTACTTCCACGGTTTAAAATTACAAAGGAGCAGGAGTGAGACCGGCCCTGGGAAAGTGTTCCACTAAACAGGGCCCCAAAATTAATAGTTACATTATTTACTGTTCTACCAGCTGCTAAAATTTCAGATACTGGGGGTGAGAAAAAGCAAGTTATTTAGAATTCAGAATTTATTGGCTATGTGACCATACGCAATGCTCCTCAAATGTTACTGGGCCTCAGGTTCCTCTTCTACAAAATGGGGACAAAACACCTACCTCCCAGGTTGGTGTGAGGGCTGAGATGATATATGTACAGTAGTACAGCAGTCTCCCCTTACCTGTGGGGAATATGTTCCAAGACACCCAGTGGATAAACAAAACTGTGGATAGCACTGAACTCTAGCAAAGAACACCAAGGTCACTTTTTTTACTTAAAGAAATCACTTTATGGGTTCTCTTTCGCATATTCAAATTGCCAGCATCATTACTCCTGCACTTTGGAGCCATTATTAAGTAAAATAAGGGTAACTTGAACACAAGCACTACAATGCTGTGACAGTCATTCTGATAACCTAGACAGCTATTAAGTGACTAACAGAGGGTAGTGTACACACTGTAGATATGCTAGAAAAAAGATGATTCATGTCCAGGGCGGGCCAGTGCAAGATTTCATTATGCTACTCAGAATGGTGCACAATTTAAAATTTATGGATTGTTTATTTCTGGGATTTTTCCATTTAATATTTTCAGACCATGGTTCACTGAAGGTAACTGAAACCGCAGAAAGCAAAACCACAGATAAGGGTGGGCTACTGTACAGCAAAGTTTCTCAAACAGTGTCTCGTAAGTTACCGATATGCTGAGATAATGATGCCCATATCCCTTAGGGCAGGCAGCAGGTGGCAGGATCTCTGAGAGGCTAGACCATTTACCCAAACGTGCCATACAAATATGATCATGTTCTGTGTGTGCCATATGATAAACAAGGTCAAGAATCACAGTGAAGGATGCCTGCATGGTGCTTAATATGTAGTAGTTACTTACTCAATGTCTACCCCTACCCTCTATCCTTAAGAGCCCTAGTTTTCTCAATTGTAAATGAGATCCACTATGTGTCACACAGGGACACTTTGAAATGAAATGAAGCCATGTTAAGGCAGATAGCACAGTGCCTCGTTCACAGAAGGTAATCAATAAATTAGTTACCTTCTAATTTAGGTAACTAGGTGGAGTTACCTTCTAATTTAGAAGTCCTAGGTGGAGTCAGAGATCAGACTCTGAAGCTGTGGTTGGGAGAGGTTTTAGGATTGCAGTAATTCCCTGAATCAGGAATTGGTTAGCAGTACAAGAACAAATAGAACTGCTATAAGTGTCAGACTGCTGTAATGTCTGGAATCCTAGAACAAGCTGGCTGAGTAAGTCCTCAGTTACTGACTGGACAACCCAAGACACTAAAACATAATCAATTCATTCAGATAGGTTTTAAGAGCTATTCTCAAAATCCTTTGGAAAAAATTTTCTTCTATCTTTTCTGTAAGGAAGCTTCTAGAATGTCAATAATCAATCCAGAAAGGGCTCCTGGCAACTGCATTATCTCATCTTCTTTTCTCACTAACAACTTTGGGCTTTTTACTACTGAATGCACCCTAGGATCCAGTTCCCCATTTTTTTTTTCTTTTTGAGATGGGGTCTTGCTCTGTCACCCAGGCTGGAGTGCAGTGGTGCCATCTTGGCTGACTGCAACCTCTGCCTCCTGGGTTCAAGTGATTCTCCAGCCTCAGCTTCCCAAGTAGCTGGGATTACAGGCGCGTGCCACCACACCTGGCTAATTTTTGTATTTTTAGTAGAGGTGGGGTTTCGCCATGTTGGCCGGAACTCCTGACCTCAAGTGATCCACCCTCCTGGGCCTCCCAAAGTGCTGGGATTACAGGTGTGAGCCAGGGTGCCTGGCTCCAACTTCCCATTTGGGCATTTATGTCTGTCTCCTACTTATCCCTTCTTATGTCCTGAATTAGAGGAATTATTGAATTCTGCTCGCTATAAAGGTTTCTGAGCATTCTACTTTAAATCTTCTATAAGGCTCCCATCATTCTTTTTGAGCAAAGCCTACAAAAATAGATCATATTAGGTAAGAGGAGGTCCTATTCTCTGCTAAGCCATATCTCAAAATATGGAGAACAAAGAGACCTAAAAGCTGATTTACTCAATGTCAGAAAAATGCCAGCTCCTAAAGAAACAGGAATCATTCTATCTGGCTTCATTCATTTCTTCAACAAACCAATTTACTGAGCTGACTATATATATAATGAGGATGCTGGGGAAACAAAGATGATTAAAGTGATACACCCAGCCCTTAAGGAGTTATCAGTTTGGTCCAGCACAGCTCTGGGACTTCATGACCAAAGTGGTCCCAAGTAGGCCACAGGACAGGCGGCAGTGTGTAATTAACTACAGTGACCTGTAAAAAGACCAACCAGGTCTTCTTATCGAGTTGGACACAACATTCCATTTCTTCTAAATGCTTAAACAATGTCCTAATTCCAAATCACTCCAAACCAGCCTGTCTCTCTGAGGACATATGCAATATATTTGGGAATGAGAACAGAGTATCAGCAAGATTTAATTTATTCCTTTTTCAAATTTCTCTTCCCACCATCCTCACCCACCCCAACTGGCACTGCTTGCTTACTGAGTTTCACTCCCCCTCACGGAACCACAGCTCCCCACAATATGTACTGGCTGTGGCAAGGAGCCAGCACACACTTAAATCCAATAGCAATTTGCATCTGACAGAATTTCCTCAATTTTGGACTCCAGACTCCAGATAAGTTGACAGGCCTAGCTTCTCAGTATGAAACGGTTCTTGGTATGTACACTAACGAAAGAATTAAATTAATTTGCCTGATTACTTTTGCTTTGAGGGTCTGGGTAAGAATTCCCAAATGAAAAAACAATGCTGTTAAGACCTGTGCATGAGGTTATTTGCAGTGTTGGGCATAGCTTTTAAGTCAGTCACGTTCTCTTAGTTTGCAGGCTGCTGGGAAGACAATTTACCAATAATTATTATTTTGTGACAACATATGGGTTGTTTCAATAAGCCACTTCCCAGAAGTGCGGTAGGAAAAAATTAAAAAGCAATCTGTTTGGAATGATCCTTAGGCTTTGCTGAACTGCCTCCAAATTAAAAGGTTATCATGACCAAATGTACTCTTAAACAGTTTAGATGACAGCACTGCTTTACCCAGAAGAAAGGTGATACTTTTAGTAGGAGGCCACTGGTGAGAAGATCCAGCAGGATGATCTGAGAGGAATCATTAAAACAAAACAAAACAAAACAAAACACTTCAAAAGAAAAATTAATGTAACTATATTCTGAAGTATATGCCACAGAACTATTTTTAAGACCATCTCATGCTTTCATTTTCAGAAGCTGGAACAGTGCTAATAGAACTTTCTGCAATAATGGATATGTTCCATGTCTGTGCTAAATACAACAGCTACTAGCCACATGTGGCAAATGAACACTAAAAATGTGGCTAGTGTGACTGAGGAACTCAATTTTACCTCACCTTTTTATTTAAAAAGGTCACTTGTATGGCTATCCTATTGGACATCACAGAGATGGAAGATGCACTCTGGAAAAGGCTGCTCTGAACTGTAATTTCCCCAACTGGTTTATTCTGAGAAGTGCAAAAAGTAGGGTGGAGCTGACCTCTCCTAGCAGGTTCCCACACCAGCAAAGCCTTTCAAATCTCCGGGGTTTCTCCTCCAAATTACTCCCATTCTTTAATCTCTTTCTCTGATCTCCACCCCAACACCTTTCACCCTTTAGCACCTCCCGAACTTGGCTAATAGGCTCTCGGAAAGGCCCCTTTTTTCTGTTGCTGCCTGGGCTGAGCACTGGTAGAATCCCATACATGTTTATGATAACCACACTGGGCAAACTTTGCTGAAGTTCTGGAATAGGCATGCACCTTGCTTTACCTTACTGGGATGCCTGGTAATTTCCGCTTGCTTCATTCGGGCTTCTGCTGGGTGATATATCTGTAATCCCAGGAGAGCCCTGCCTACTAGGCAGGATATTGTGGTCTTTTAAAAGACTTTCAAAGTTTCAAATTCTCAGCAGAATGTTCTGAGCCGCCTTATTGAAAACCAAATCTCAAAGAGGGAGATGGGCCAGAACGAAAGCCTAAATTTATACACACACACACCCGTACATGTGCACAAGCACACACAGCAGTGCACCCCCACACAAGTTCCCTACGATGCAAATCTTTGTAAAAAATGAGGACAGGCGTGGTGCTGTAATCCCAGCACTTCGGGAGGCCGAGGTGGGCGGGTCACCTGAGGCCAGGAGTTTGAAACCAGCCTGGCCAAAATAGTGAAACTCCATCTCTACTAAAAATACAAAAATTAGCCGGGTGTGGTGGCGCGTGCTTATAATCCCAGCTACTTGGGAGGCTGAGACATAAGAATCACTTGAGCCTGGGAGGGCGAGGTTGCAGTGAGCAGAGATCGCGCCACTGCATTCCAGCCAGTGAGTCTGTCTCGGGGAAAAAAAAAAAATGTCCTGCAAGTCCTAACGTTTTTCTTCCAGACTTGAGGGCCTATTTAATCCCTCCGAAATGGTTAGCTGCTTCTTTTAAGAATAATTTTTTAAAAGAAAAAGAAAGAACTGAAGTTCCGAATAATGGGCCATATTTTGGAATCACAAGTCATTAATACACAAATAGACGAGAATGTACTCCTATGTTAAAAAACATGCCTCTTCTTGCAAATACACAGCCATTTATCTTGTAGATCAGCTTATAACCGCCCAGGTCTCATTCTTTGCTAGTCTGGACCTGAGAATGCATTAAGATCAGTTATGAAAATGCAGAAGTTAATTCAACTTCCTCCTATGTGCTACACTGCTCAGAAAAAAGTATACAGCAATCACCCAAAATAAGACTCTGGGCTGATTCATTTGAATATCTAAAATGCAAAGAAACTGGTAAGAGAGGCTAAGACAAGAAAGCAGCAAGTCAGCCTAAAATATAAGCAACTGCAGCCCCTGGCAGGAAACAGTACTGCTCCCTACGCATATTACTTCAAGGAAAGTAGTGCTTTGTTTTACAGATAAAATCTGTTGCCTTATAAAGGAGACAGGACATACTATATATTCAATTTAAATGGTAGTTAATACTTTTTAATGCCTCCAAGCCACAAGTACATTATGACCACTTAAAAATTCCCCTCTACCAATCTTTTCCCATCTGTGGATCTCCAAGTACTTTCCTATTACTAGCTCCCAGTTCACCAGAAACAGTCTGCTCTTATTTCCTCAACTGTGAAACCCAGATGTGAAGCCCCATGCTTATAGATAGGGAAATGAGGCAAAGGGATTGGCCATAGGCCACCAAAAATTAGAACCCAAAACCCTTAGCTCATGTTTTAAATATATTAGAAAAGCAAAGCAGCTTTGGAGGAGGAGGTTGTCTTCTACTGATTCTTGTGTTTGGCAGAGAAAGCTGCCTTGGAAATATGCCCTAAGCCCATCTTTTAAAAAGTCCAACTGTAAAGAGAGGTTATCTAAGAACTTTATAGATTCTGGAGGCTTTGAAGTGTGTAACTGGGCCAAGGCTACCACGGAAGAAATCACAGACCAAGGGTCTTGATGTAAGAATTTACAAGATAACCAGATAAAGGCTAGTGGGCGAGGAGAGAGCATTAGAACCTCAAAGGAGAGATAAGGGACGGGTGTGGAGCAAGGGACAATTAGCTTTGCTTGAAAACTATGTAACAAAATGGCCCAGTGTCTCTCACAGAAGGGTTCGAGAAAGGGAAACCAGAGATCGCGTTTTTCCGGCTCTAAGACTGGGTCGGCTTTCAGTCTTCTCTTCTGCTCCTTTTAGAGCAGACGGCAGTGGGGAACGAGAATGCTGGTGGCGACGTGGGCCTGCATCTCCTTTCCTCCTCCAGTCCTGGGAATTCCTGAAAACTCCTTCCAACCCAATCCCAAACAGGCTCTCTCTGGGTTCAGAACAATGCCAGGGAATTTCACGCAGGGAAGGGGTCCCCTTCTCGCCCTAGCGGGCAGGGGGCTCCTCCGGCGCGAGTTCCGGCCCCAGCGTCCCCCACGTCCCACAGGTCTCCTGCCCTTTGGCACGCACAGCCCTCACCACTCGCTGCTTCCGCATCCCTCCTCTGAGCCTCTCCCCACGCATCTCTGCCCCTCGCCCGGCCGCGCCCAATCGCCTCCCACGTCTACCCCGCTGGGGCAGCCCCTCACCCTGCCAGGCACCCCATTTCTCTCCTCCAGGTCTGGGGGACTGGACGACACTGGGGATTAGCTGGGGTCAACTCTGCCTCCCCCGCCACCCCTGGCCCCGGACGCGCGCTCACCCGGCGGCCGCGTTCTCGAACTTGAGCGCGAGCGTCTCCTCGATGATGCGGTTGTTCACCTCCAGCAGGATCATGGCGGCGGCTGCCCCGAGCAGGGGAAGGAGAAACAAGGGCCGGTGAGGGTGGGTAAGGGAGGGAAGGACGGAGGTAGCGGCCCTGCTGCCCCTTGAAGGGACCTGGGTGGGGTAGGAGGTTAGGGGAGAAGGGGAGAGGGGCCGGGATGGAGGGAAGGGTAAGACGCACGCGCTGGCCCACGCACGCAGACTGTGGAGACACCCACCCACCCAACCAACCAACCAACCAACCAACCAACCGACCTGGCCCCCAAAGCCTGAACCCGCCTGCCGAGCCGCCGCCGCCGCCGCCGCCACTGCCGCTTCACCGACAAGCCCAGTCCCCGCCCAGCCCCCGGCTCTAGCCGGCCACTTCCGCTCTCACACCCACTTCCGCTCGCCGCCTGGACGCGCGGCCCCGCGGCGCCATTTCCGCTTCAACCCCTCGTGAACGCGAGCGCAGGCGCGCCGGAGGAAACGGAGACTGCGCTTGCGTATGTGTAATGCCGCCACCCCACCCTCTACTTTCTCACAGACCCCCTTACGTCTACAGCCTACCAGTGCGTCCCCCGCGGAGCTGTCATTCCCCGAGGCTTGCCTGACTGTCCAGCTTCTCACTCCCGCTTGTCCCAGAGATCCAACTCCGTTCTTCCGGTCTTGTCATTTCAGAGACCTCGCAAGAAGCTCGCCCTTGTAGTCTCCCAGCGGGCTTCTTTGCTCCCAGCTTGTTTGCTGGGGGTGCCTCTTTTTCTTTCCAGGTATAGCTGTCCAGCGACACCATCACACATTCATTTCTCCAACAAACATTTTCGTGGGCTCTTGCTCTATACTGGGGATGTAGTGGTAAATGAAATAGATGAGGCCCTGCCCTCGTGGAACTTATAGTCTGGTAGAGGAAACAGACAATAAAATTCTCAATTGTGTAAGGAGGTAGAGATGCATGGGGAGAGGATCAGAGTAGGGATGCGGAAGCAGCGAGTGGTCAGGAGTGTACGTGCCAAAAGGCAGGAGACCTGTGGGACGTGGGAGTAGCTGGGGCTGGAACTTGCGCCGGAGGAACCCCCTTGCCTGCTGGGGCGAGAAGAGGACACTTTCCTTGCGTGAAATTCCCCGTATTGTTAAAAGGACAATTAAGGAAAGGAATGAGAGGTCACCTGGGTGAATAGGCAACTTAGATGGGCCTCCCTGTGTTTCTGTCATGCCTCCAATTCCAGGTGTCCAGAACACATTTTTTTCTGCTTTTGAAACCTTCCAGTACCTCTGGTAGAGATACACCCTCCTTGTTACCTGAGTGCTGAATCTTAACTCCTCTTTGTGCTACATCCGCACCATCTGCCTTAGTGCCTTGTTTTGTGTTTTCCCTCCTCCGGGGAGAATGTAATAAACTTAGCTGAGTCCCTTCCACATACAAGGAAATAATTTATTTTCTGTTATGTGTTTGGGGTGGGGATAAAAAAATGAACAAGAAACTAGCTCCTATCATTAAGGCACAGATAGTCCTTTGAAACATTACTTAACGGGCTATGGATGAACTTCAGGATATTGCTGATCCCCCAAAATTATACGCTAATTTAATTAATTAATTAATTTTTTTTTTGAGACAGAGTCTTGCACTGTTGCTCGGGCTGGAGTGCAATGGCATGATCTCGGCTCACCGCAACCTCTGCCTCCCCGGTTCAAGTGATTCTCCTGCCTCAGCCTCCCAGGTGGCTGGAATTACAGGTGTCTGCCACCACGCCCGTTTAATTTTTTTGTATTTTTAGTAGAGATGGGGTTTCAC